GTGCTCTAGAGGTTAAAATTGGGTTGACACCTCTCAAATAGCAGGCGAAATTGTTGGATGTGCATTCCTGCATAACTTGAGATATCAGGCGACTGGACAAGGCAGCTCCAGGAACCCCAGCTAAGTCATGTCTATATTATGTTTATAGTTCTGGCCAGTATTATTATCATGAATGTAGACAGGGTGGTTTTCTGAGTATGATACACCTTAATCTCCAGTCAAATTGGTGAGTGATATTAAGATATATTTTCCTTCTGTTATGTAATTGTGTATTATAACTATTTATTTTTAATATACAGTCAAATTTATATATTTGCCAGTATTCCTGGTGATGTATTTTTCATTTATAATAGGTCCAGAGCAACTTGTGGATATGACAGTGGTAGGTATCGAAGGGGGACATTTTTTGCGACCTAGGTGTCCCAAATTCCTACTTGTCTAAATGATAAATAATAATTATCTTTATTCATTTAGTGTTATGTACATAATGATACATTCAGATAAATGCAATTTTCCACAGTATGAATTAATAACAATAATGTGTAAATAGTTTGGTCTAACTAGGCAGCTAAGGCCAATGTGGTTAGTTACATAAATAATCCTAATCTAACTTATAATTGTTGCCTTAAATTGGCCTATAATTCGCTGTATATAGTTGAATTTACAAGCTAACTAGCCTACCTGGCCTGCCTGTAAATCACTGGTACGTCACTGTGGTCTAAGACCTGTCTACTACTGCTGCTGTAGCACATCTGGGTTCTGAAGGATCAATATGAAAATTCCTGTGCGAACTGCCTTTAGGTGAGCGGCAAACGTAGCCGGTGCTGCTAATTACTGTATCTACATGTCATGGACTCTGCGCGATACGGGTGCTCTGGAATTAATTCACACGATGGCTGGGACGTTTTATAGGACAAAATGCAGAAATCGTATGGTCATGGGTGCGAAATGGGACGCGAGTTTTACGAGATTTGCGCGTTTTGATGGCAGGGAGTGATATGTAGGCTGGAAACCTTAGGAGGGTGTGTGTTTTTGTGTGCAGTGTTTGGAATGCATGACTTGTGCGCGGATGGTGTGCATGTCTATAAGGAATCAGTCACGGAACTTTTGTGGTATGGTCTTGGTGTTCAGGATGTTTAATGCTGCAATACTTTGTAGTTGTGCGTGATGCGTGTGGTTGCTGGATGTGGTTTTCTTTTTATCTGACCATATTTGTATGGTATACCTGGTGCTTCGGGTATACCAGTGCCGTCTTTTGTGTACTGCTGCAGGTGCATTCATATACTATGTAGTGTGTGTGTGTTGTGTGTGTGTGTTTTTTCGTGAGCCTAGAGCTGTGTTCTGTCTACAATACTACTTTATATTTTTGAGGCAAATGTACAGTTCTTGAAACATGTTTCGTGTGTATAACGGGAGATGATTGATATTGTCTTGAGTTATCCTGGCGTACCATGTACTTGCATGGTGATGGCAATTATACATTATGACGCCTTTCAAGTGTGGCGTGGGTGTGGTGGGTGTATAGTGTGACTGATACTATTGGAAAAAAAAATTGGTGCTATTTACGTGTAATATGTATAGCTGGATATTCAACCTGTACATTTCTGCTTTGAAGTGTGACACATACGGACCGACTTTTGTTAGTCATCCTGTTATTTAGAGACTAATGGTGCCATGTATATTTTTTTTTGTTCTTCGCCTCTGTGATGAAGGGGCGCTTATGTTTGTATGTTTTGTGTACTAAGCCTTTGTTTTAAAAAAATAACCCACACCTAGGTACCTGCTTACTGCTAGGTGAGCAAGGGTAGCATGTGTAACATGCCCAACGTTTCCACTCGTCCGGGGATTGAATCCCAAGTCCCGTGTACAAGCTTAATCCTCTACCAATTGAGCCACGAGCATCCTTATGTACACCTTGTGCTTCTTTTGGGTGTGTAATTTACCATCATGGCCCCTTGTTCCTTTGTTCTTACTGCTTTTCTGGTAACGAGGTTACCCTTGTCTACTGGAAGTGTCCTTGGTCCTTTGCTCTTCCTCTTATACATCAATGATCCACCTACTGTTTCACAACACCTGACGATACAACATATGTCATCTCCCACCCTAATCTTGCCACACTTAACACTATGGTTAATGAAGAACCAGTAAAAATATCGACCTGGATGACTGCTAATACTGTTGCATATAGTTGCATATACTGGTGTACGTGCCAGTGTTGCATATACTGGTGTACGTGCCAGTGTTGCATATACTGGTGTACGTGCCAGTGTTGTATATACTGGTGTACGTGCCAGTGTTGTATATACTGGTGTACGTGCCAGTGTTGTATATACTGGTGTACGTGCCAGTGTTGTATATACTGATGTACGTGCCAGTGGTTGATGTCCGTTGGAATCCTGCAGTGTTTTCGATGGAGGTCACTGCCACGGCAATCCGGGTGTCTCACGAAATCGTAATGACACGATTGTAAACAAACCACACGCGACGGTCTGGAGTTTTGAGGCTCTCTGACCGCGGGTTCAATCCCGCCCGTGGTATGGTTTAATCCGGGTGTCATCTGCAAAGGAAGACACGGAGCTATGGCTGACATCTGTCTATGTCAGAAGAAAACCTAGAAGACAGGTCAGAGAGAGAGAACATGGACTAAAAACTCATTTGTGGTTCTCTGAAAATTATGGGTTATGTGTGAATTGCTCCATAAATGATATAAAATTTTGTCAAAGTTAATTTAATTATTGCATTATGGACTGAATTGCAGAACCAGAAATTTAAGTATAACAATAGTCCAGTTACTCTTTTTACCGTTTTGTTCAACTTACGAGCAGAATAAGTAATATGACCCATATAAAAAAAAAAATTGTACAGTAGGACCCCCGTATCCGTGGGGAATACGTTCCAAGGACCTGCCGTAGATACAGAAACTGTGGATAGTGGCAAACCCTATATACAAGTCCTATACGTACCCATTATAAAGTTTAATGATAAATTATGCATTTTTTCAGTGATGGGAAGCTCCTGGGGAGAGAGTGTGGAGGAAGTGAATGTATTCAGATATTTGGGAGTGAACGTGTCAGCAGATGGGTCTATGAAGTGAATCACAGAATTGATGAGGGGGAAAAGTGAGTGGTACACTTAGGAGTCTCTGGAGATAAAGAACTTTGTCCAGGGAAGCAAAGAGGGAAATGTAAGAGAGTATAGTTATAACAACGCTTTTAATATGTGTGAAACATGGGTGGTGTATGTTGTAACAAGGAGAAGGTTGGAGACAGTGGAGATGACATGTCTAAAGGCAATGTGTGGTGTGAATGTAGTTTGGAAATTAGGAGATGCGGAATTACGGCTTTGTCAAGCCGTAACGGCTTGATAAAGCTCCTGGAGAGCGAAACGTTGCCACAATAAAATGTTACATTTGTGTCCTTTTACTTAACATGTTGTCGGCAATTCGACCAATATTAATACAACGTATTTCCTCCTGGAAAGTGGTTATAGATTGCCAGTTTATAGTTCATGTCTTGAGTACCAGATTATAACCAGTACCCCTCGACCAGTACCCCTCGACCAGTACCCCTCGACCAGTACCCCTCGACCAGTACACCTCGACCAGTACCCCTCGACCAGTACACCTCGACCAGTACACCTCGACCAGTACCCCTCGACCAGTACCCCTCGACCAGTACCCCTCGACCAGTACACCTCGACCAGTACCCCTCGACCAGTACCCCTCGACCAGTACACCTCGACCAGTACCCCTCGACCAGTACACCCTCGACCTACCCTCGAACAGTACCCCTCGACAGTACCACTCGACCAGTACCCTGACCATGTTACCCTTACTGTTAGTAACCCTCGACCAGTACCCTCGACAGTACACCTCGACCATGTACCCCTCGACCTGTACACTCGAGCAGTACACCTCGACAAGTACCCTCGACCAGTACCCTCGACCGTTAACCTCGACCAGAAAATACCCTTCGACCAGTACCCTGACCAGTATCACCTCGACCAGTACCCCTCGACCAGTAACTGACAGTACCCCTCGACAGTACCCTCGACTAGTACCCCTCGACCAGACCTCGCAGTACCCTCTCGTCCGTACCCTGACCAGTACCACTCGTCAGTACACCTCGACCAGTAACCTCGACCAGTACACCTCGCACCAGTGCCCCTCGACCGTACCCTGCCAGTACACCCCGACGTACTCCTCGACCGTACATTTCGACATGACCTCGACCAGTACTCCATCGACATTTCACTCGACCAGTAACTCGACCATGTACCTCTCGACAGTACCTCGACCAGTACACCTCGACCAGTAACTGCCTACCAGTTCAAATAGTTTTGTCTCCTAGTATAGACTAATACCGTAAAGGTCATAGACAATTTAGTATTACGTGTTAAGTTAACCCGTGTAATTTTTACATTAAACTTGAAATGGATACAAAACATCTCGTCATTCAAGCAAAAAAAAAAAATATTAATGACTGCAGAAATGGAATTACTTTTAGGTAGAGCCAAGTATTATAAATTATTGATGAGAATTGTCCCACTCAGAGAGTTCTATAATGGAAGGACTCTAATTGTGATGGCCACGGGATGAGGCTCTCATATCTGCACTCACCACATGTTAAATCCCATTACAGCCTCCAGATCCGTCCCGTTGCTAGGAGACCGACGATTCGTCCTAATGTTGGCATTGGCTTTGGCTTACGAGTTATGTATGAATTTTCATCGAGAAAGAACTTAATGTGCTTTCTGCAGATTATTTATACACCGATAACTTATTTATTCAAGAATTTCTCGCTGTTACTTGTAAGAAATTTGTTATACCTTACTAATTTACTGAGGTTCAGTAACTGCATGCGGACAATATTGGAAACAAAAGACAATCGGTTGGAAGTAACTGGATTAGATTACGTCTGAAGAGTTTTGAAAGAAGTTGCGATGCACGTAAGGCGATCAGAACCTCTCAATCAGCGCGAGAACTCTATGATCCCACTTACCTCGGACAATATTTCGTATCTGCTGAGGACAGAAATTGAGTTATGTCAGATCCGCTGCCAACCCGTAGATAATGAGACGCAGCGGCGCGACGGATCCTGAGGAAGATGGCGATTTTGTGGTAATTTGGGAGGGTTTATATTTGGGGATAAAATTTACTGTCCGTGCACCTGTAACTTAGTGACACTTGATACCACTTCACACACACACATTCTTCAGATACCAATGGTAAAGGTATATAAGACTAACAAAAAATATACATTACTTACATGAACGTTATTGGTGTTTAACAAGAGTCTCTTCATATACGATAACATATGGCAAATAATGCAGCAATAGGTATATTGAAGGTAGCGAGAATCACCTAATACGCGCTTCAAAACATGTACGCGCGCGCGCACATAAAACAGGCCAAGTGTCTATCAATATGTGCCTTTGACAACTAGTAACTACACATGCAGACGAGAACTGGACAAATCATACAAGTGGTGAAGGTATGTACGATAGTTCCTCTTGGCTACAAGCCTGTCAGGTGGCAAGAAGCCGGGCCAGGAGCCGAGAATCCATCCGGCAAATGCAAATAAGATACTACACAAACACACCAAATGTAACACTCGGTAGACACGTCCTAAAAATGATCACTAATTATTAACAGCATCTCATGGAAATATGAAGAGTAACTCCTGGCATCTTTAGCCAAGCATCAAATGTTGCTTAAAATATAAGCAGGAAAAATTTACTAGTGTGTGTGTGTGTGTGTGTGTGTGTGTGTGTGTGTGTGTGTGTGTGTGTGTCGCTTAGTAATAGTGACTATTGTAATAAAAAGAAGCGCTAAACGGCAAGGGTTATACAGGGCTTAGTAATAGTGAATAAAATAATTTAAATATGTGTGAGAGAGAGAGAGAGAGAGAGAGAGAGAGAGAGAGAATTATGGAGTTACCTTTTGGCCAGAACTATAAAGGCTTGGCAGAGCAACACACTGAGCTGGAAAACACCAGTCACTAGATGCATTAAGGTCCAACAGGAGGCAACAAGAACTCACTCCACAAGATGACTGGGAACTCGTAAAAGATCGGCAGTAAGACTCTGATTCTCCCCCAATGGAAATAACTAAGGATCCCAATGGAAATAAATCACTGACTTTTCTAGGTTATCTCCTAGGTTCTGTACACATATGCTGCTATGTATGATAATTTATGTAACTGTATTTGTGTATACCTGAATAAACTTACTATTCCAGCATCTTGCAGTAGTAGTAGTAGTAGTTATTGTGGCAGTGGTGACATTTACGTGGGAACACTTTGACCAGTACTTGCCACAGTGACCTAAATCATGGGGAGATTACGTAAATCAACGAGCTAGCACACGACACCAACAGAACCAGTACATCACACCAACAGACCAGCAAGTAGACGAACAAACAGTTGGGGAGGGGGTGCCACTGAGAGTGCCGGTGCCTCCACCTCTCATACACCAGGAAAAAGAAATTTATCGTCATACCCTCGAGGAAGCGCTATACCCACCAGGGGGGTCATAAAGCGCACTGGAAATTGGACGTCAATCGGGTTTGACCCGACAAACTGGAGTATAGCACCGGTTCCTTCACCAACTCAACGCATCTCCCCTCCTTGAAGGACCAACACAGAACTCGTCTCAGAGTGAGCAGCTCGGCCCTATGCGTCTTCACCTTTTGTTGACACTTACACAGAATTAATCCTGCTGACGCAGCTCCACGGGTGCAGTCTGCGTCTGCTCTCAGGGCAGCTATTTCCATGGCGCAGCTGCGGGATATCGACCTACCTGTCAGGGGAAAGTTAGCTTCCTCTTGCACCCTGCTACTTAATTGGCCGAGGTACACTACATTGGCCCGGGGAGGAAATTCTTTTTAATCCCATTTGAAGGGGGGAAAAATAAAGGAAAAAAAAATGTGATCTGCTCTTTGCATACCTTTCTTTCATGCGACGGTCGTGGGCCGGGCAGGCATACTGGAACCAGTTCTGATACTCCTACTAGATATGATAAAAAACAAGGTCTACTTCATTCTCTAAATATTCACTCACTCCTACTCCTGGGAAGCATCCCAATTATTAGCTAACTAATACGCAAAGTGACGAAGGCCACTGATACTCGTCCGCCGGGATAACTTTAAGTCAGGCAAGTTGTGGTCCAGATACAGTTTTCATTAAAGTTATGATCAAACAAACCGGGGAGACTTGAAACATTCTTTGATGTTGGAGCGGCGCGCCGGCTCGGATGGTCGAAAATTAATAGCCATTACACCTAACCCAGTGAAGCGATGCGCCCAGTTGGGAGGCAGCCAACGACATTTCAGAACGGCTGTCAATTTGCGTTCTGATTGGTTATTAAGCTAGTTGGTTTTGACGGGGCTACACTGCGCGTTTAAAGAACCAAAGCGGCTATACTGATGACTGGCTTGTGTCCGCTAATGGACCAATGGAACACTTTTTTTTACGGGATAACATTTGTAGTTACGCGGTGAGTAATGCTTTACTGATGTAGTTTATATTGAATACATGTTGCAGGGTTTAATGTATATGTACAGGAGAGGCACGTACTGCGTGTATGTACTCACCTAATTGTGGTTGCAGGGGTCGAGACAGCTCCTGGCCCCGCCTCTTCACTGATCGCTACTAGGTCCTCTCTCTCCCTGCTCCCTGTGTGTGTGTGTGAAGGATCCTTATACAGTGCAAATTATGAAGACAATCTCTGAGAAATAAATAAAGTGACTAAAACTAAAGATTTCTCCTAGAACGTTTCATTATTTTTTCCATCTACTTCCACCTCATTACTTCAGGCATAATAAAAGTTTTGCTGAGAACGTCACAGAAACACGCACATATATATATATATATATATATATATTACCAAGGATGCAGCAGGCATTCCTCCTCTGGATCGCCACTCTATCGTGCTGGTAGAGGAAGGTAGCTATCCAAGCATCTAGTAGTTTCTATGAGCTTGTAATCTAGTACTTTCAGGAAAATTTTGACACTCCCCCGTCTCCCCAGGGACAATGGGTCTCCGATCAGGTTGGGAGAAAACATTACTGTGTTAATGCAACAAGTCTCCATACTTGCTGAGCTTGTGACGGTCCTTGGGATCAGAAGCACCACCCAGTAACTGTACCTAGGCTTTTCAGTCAGTTCAATCTAAACTTTGGTTTAGCTTATTATAATCAAAACCAAGCGTTAAACCCACAAGGGTCATGGTTTAAATTATGGCAGTGTTATTTTCAATACATCAGATACACAAATTTACATACAGAATATTGTAATTAAATGGCGACTAAAACTGTATTAATTATATGGACTAGAAAGAATGAGAGGATAAAATACATTTTTTAAGACAATTAACAGATCAGTTACAGAGGGTTCTGCTAATATTCGAAGGGACCGGGGTTCAATTACCAGCTGAACGAAGGTAGAGACAGGTATCCTTTAACGATCTAGCCCTTTGACCTGCAAGTAACTAGGTACCTGGGTATTAGTCGACTGTTGTGGAAGGCATCCTGAGGCGTGGTAGCATACTTGACCAAAAGTATTTAAGATGAACCGAGGCAAGATAACAGATCTAAGCTTGTAAATTAAACTATTAAACATAATTTAGTAGTACCGCTTTAGGGAAAGTCTGCGGTCACCGTCGCCAGGATTTCACTACAGGGTTCAGAACAGACACTGAGACGGGAAGGTGGCTCGCGTGTCCTGATCTTAGCGAACGGAGGCTGGAGCCTTCACCTATTCCCTGTGCAGAGTAACCCGGACGGGTCTTGCTAATACACACCTAGAGGCACACTGTTGAATTCACTACCACCATCTACCCACCCCTCTCATAAATGGTTAATCCAAGTGCCTGCTTCAATACTGACGCTATGCTCAACCTTCTCCCTCTCCTTTGCTCTCTCTGCTAATGGTGTTTGGCTTGATTTTATATTCCTGTAGGATCTGCTCTACTCCCACTCTGTCTAGGTTTGCCCTTCACTTAGCCTGGGTCTTCCAGATCCTACCCAACCGCCGGAGTCTCACCCTCTCAAAACCAACTTTTCCCATTAAGGAATCGCAAGGACCTGAAAGCCAGGAGAGTTAAAGTCTCCTCAATAGTGCAGTTAGGAAAGTGGATAACAGAAGTCAGTATACATAAGGCACAACTTGGTAAAATATAATGACGTTTATGTACCATACAAAGCAGTGGTGTGTGTGTGTGTGGTGTGTGTGTGTGTGTGTGTGTGTGTGTGTGTGTGTGTGTGTAAGGAGAGAGAATTGTTCCGAATGTTGAATGCGTAGAGAATCTTTTCAAGGTGACGATTCCTACTGAAAGAGGAAGGCTCAACTGGCTATCCATATCAATTCCCCGAGCTGATTAGAGTAAAACAGGCCAAAAGTTATCAATATAGCGTCCTTCGCACTGGCTTCATTAGCCGGGACCCATAGTCCAGGTACTATGAAAACCGCAGGTCCTCACTGGTGTAGTAGTAGTGCTGCAATGATGCTGTGGGCGGGAAGTAGTGGGTTCGATTGGCAGAGGGGGAGGGGGTAATGGTGGGGGTGATGGCGGGAGGTGATGGTGGGAGGTGATGGTAATTAGGGGTTATGGTGGTGAGACAGGAGTTATGGTGCAGTTGGTTTCTGCAATATACGCAATCACTCTTAGAATTTTTTATCCTCTGAGCAACAGAATTTCACTCGAGAAAGGCTTACATTACTGCGACTGGATGTGGCTGCAAAAATCCCCCATGTTGCTGTGGGTAGACGCAGGCGGGCGTAAATGTCTGTGGGTTGCAATGGGTGGCCGTGAATAGCCGTGGGTAGCCATGGGCGGCCGTGCGTAAAGTGACAGAACAAGCGACACTGAGCTCCTGCGAGACAGCAGTAATGTGTTGCCAGGAGAGACTTAAGTAATTTTGGCGTTTCGAATATATTAAGCCCAACACACACATCTAGTCGAAAGTTCTCTCAAATCAAGAAAACACCGAAAACAACTAAGAAATTCTAATGGTATACGCTGTTAGACATGCATACAACTTTATATCTATTGGTTTTAACATGTCGACTGTTTCGTACTAATGATAGGGTGACTTCAAAGAAGAGAATACAGTCACCATCACTCGCTCCTTAACTGTCTTGCCAAAAGTGCAGGGACAGGTATTCCAGCGACCCTCTGAAGCGTTTCAAGCCACCAATCCTTGAGAGTGCAAGCAATACACTTCCCACCTCCACAACGGCGTTCCCACTACTGTGAGCACAAGTATCGTGTTCCCCCTCCCACTCCAAGAGAGAGATACTCAACCATGTAACAGAAAGCAGACATTCTACTTTCCACCTCCAGAAGAGTCCTGCTGACATATTATTAGTAATAAAATATACTATAACAGTTTAAAAAATAATACCTCCAGGCTAGTAAAATATACTGGAAACACCTCTCGTTTCTAACCTTTGAAAGAGAAAATACTTTGCCGTAATCAATCGAAGTTTTTGCTAGACCTAATATACAGTAATGTGTGATTATAAAGGGATTTATGAATATTATTACAGATATAAAGTGTTTGGTGTATTATTATAATCAAAAGTAAGTGTTGAACTCACAAGGGTCTGGTGGTAGGTGTAGAACACTCAGGTACTCAAAATGCAAGAAAGGGAAGAGGAGCATATTGAGAAAATGAAAAATTACAGAAAACGACAAGGGAGAAGAATACAAGAAAAAGAATGCGAGGATGAATATAAAAGATGTAAATGTTGATGTACGAGTCTCTCAAACTGTTGTTGTTGTGGTTCCCGCGGCTGTTATTGAAGCTATTGTTACCGAGGCTGTTATCGCTGTGTCTGCTGGATGCTGTCTTTCTTGCCTGTCTGCTGTTTGGCCACTGCTTCAGCAGCTGGGTTTGGCCCATACGTCACCCCTAAAACTTCATGGGTGGCGTAGGGCCCCCAACCAGCTGCTGAAGGGTTGATTCCTTCCTGTAGCTCTCAACCCCCTCCCCTCCTTTCCCCTCAGCCTTAAGCCCCTTCCCCTCATCCTGTACCCCTTCCACCCTTCACCCCCTCACCCTTTCCATTATTACAAACCAAACAGTGGCTACATGCGTCATTTTTACAGATCACATGCATTTTTAAACTCTCATCAAGGAAGTCGTAATTAACTAATGGTACAGCAAGAAACGCCTGGGCATATTTCTTCATTGCCTTGCATCTGTGGGCGTGCGCAGGCCGGCGCCCACCGGGGTAACACAGGCGTATGTGGCCCCTCAACTCTCCCACCTTCCTTGGCAGGCCAACACTGAGGCTTAAGATACCTACCTGTCGCCTGTGGTTAAACCACCTCGTACCAAGAACTGCAGCCAGGCACCCTTGGAATACTGCCATGGTTCTTGCGTTTGTTACAAGAGCCTAGCAGGGACGTGGTTATAATAAGAGTGGGACTCTTTGAAGAGTGTTGGGAGGTGGTGTTTAAGGCTCTTTAACCACCTCTCACTCTGCTGTCGTTTACGCCCTTCCTGCTACCGGTGTCGTGGGGTACTTATAAAAACTTAATATTCACAAAATGCAAATGAGTCTAGTCTCCGTGTCCCAAGCGATTACTCTGAGGCAGCGTTCCTCAACCCACTCCCAGCGAAATTAGGTTATAAAAATGAGACTGCCTGTTTTAATAATGCGGCGAGCGGTGGTGTTCGCCCGCCGCTACTCTCAGCCCGAGGCGCTGCTGACGGAGAGGCCAAAGTCGCTGCCATGGAAGGCAGCACCGTCTGTCTCTCTTGCTCGGGCGGTGCAGATGAGTCGCTAGGGTAGGACGCGGTTAAAAATTACAACCATCGCGGCGTGTACCAGTGTCCCCGGATGATATTAAAGCCGGGCGTAATCCGAGTAAAATAAGTCCGTTCAGCCGCCCGGAAATAAAAATTTACTTCACTTGAAATATCCCCTAGGGGGCCTCCGTGGTGGTGCGTGGGGCCTCCAGCTACGGCTACGTCAGGATTCCACCCCCCCAACCTCCCTCAACACAACAATGCCTTGCTCGCTACCTAGGAAAGTAATCACGTTTGCATTCGGTATGATAACGTCAAAGTGAAAAAAAATAGGATGTTGTTGGAAGTGAGTTTAGGGAGTGATCCGGGGTTAAGAGGTCCCAAAGGAGAATGATTTTCTTGTTGGGGTTTTAAATGTATGCTCGAGTGGGCCAGCTGTGGTGGTTGACTGTGTCACGTGGCGGGGGAGGGAAGAAGGTTTAATGTTGCATGATATTAAGGTAGCGGGCAGCACCCTTGTCTTACTCTCCCCACGCATCTTCCTCCTAAGTTTCCACTTCAGGTTTTTCGCCTCCAAATAAAGACAATGTTGCTGTTCGGTGGGTCATGTGAACTGTGATATCGGCTCACTTCTGGCATGACAGCTATTGAATGAATAATGGTGAATGAGTTGTTTTTTTTTGTGGTCTCCCTGCCTCGGTCAGCAACCACCCAGGGAGGTACTACCGTCCTGTGGTGGTTGGTTGGTAGACAGAAACCCACCAGGGAGGTACTACCGTCCTGTGGTAGTAGGTTGGTAGACAGCAGCCACCCAGGGAGGTACTACCGTCCTGTGGTAGTAGGTTGGTAGACAGCAACCACCCAGGGAGGTACTACCGTCCTGTGGTAGTAGGTTGGTAGACAGCAGCCACCCAGGGA